GTCCATGCAAAGAAGGAGACATAAACTATACACACTAAATATTCAATATAAACTTAGTCAATCGAGACAGGCGTATGCGAGTAAATGTGACGTGAGCTTCGCGGTCAGAGGTCTGCGGACGACTGGCACAGGAAGCTGCGACGGCACACCTCGTGCCGTTCACACAAAGACTTGTGAACTACGCAATCATGTGTAAGTCACCACACCACTCCCCCTCAGAGACCACCTCAGGATGGGCGATAGTAGTCTGGAAATATGACTTTTCTACCGGATCTTGTTCTGTGAGACGAGCGCGGCGATTCCAGACTTTCTTTTTCATCACAGGGTTGCTTAGGTATTTTTTCTGTGTTGCTATCTAATAAGTAAGCTGGTTTGATCCTGTCTATGGAAACGTTGATCTCTTTTCCGTTTATCAACCGCTTGTACACTTTGTTGTCTCTGTTAATAACTTTGTAGGGGCCTTTATACGCTGGTTGAAATCCACGTTTGACTGCGTCTTCTCTGAGGAATACGTGCGAGCAAGATGCAAGATCTTTGTAGATAAATATCTTCTGGATAGAATGATGTGGTGTTGGGACTGGCTGTAAATTGCTGGCAAATGACCTGATGCGGGCTGAAAAATCAGTTATATCCGTATCATGCTTGTCAGTTTTATGACCAAAAAATTCTCCTGGTAGGCGCAGGCGTTCACCATATAGTAATTCGGCTGACGAGCACTGAATGTCCTCCTTAAAAGCACTTCTTATGCCGAGGAGCACGATTGGTAAAGTTTTGGTCCAGTTGATGTCGGCATAACATGTAATAGCAGCCTTCAGCTGCCGATGAAACCTTTTAATGAGACCATTGCATTGAGGATGGTAGCTGGTAGTTTTGCGATGCTTAAACCCTATGAATTTGGAAAGTTGTTCGAATAGTGCTGATTCAAATTGTATGCCGCGATCAGTGACGATGTCAGTGGGACAACCAAATCGGGCAATCCATCCCGATAAGAAAGCTTTTGCTACTGATTCGGCCGTAATATCAGTCAGTGGTATAGCTTCAGTCCACCGGGTAAAACGATCAATTGCTGTTAAACAGTACTTGTAATCACCGGAAGGAGGTAACGGTCCAATGATGTCTAGGTGTACATGATTGAATCTTNTAATATCAGTCAGTGGTATAGCTTCAGTCCACCGGGTAAAACGATCAATTGCTGTTAAACAGTACTTGTAATCACCGGAAGGAGGTAACGGTCCAATGATGTCTAGGTGTACATGATTGAATCTTGCTTTTGGTAAATCGAAGGTGCCTAACGGTGAGCAAACATGTCGATTTATTTTTGAGCGTTGGCAAGCTAAACATGCTCTAGCCCAGTCACGACAGTCCTTCCTGAGTGAAGGCCATACAAATCGTTCAGCTACTAGTTTAGCACTAGCCTTTGTACCGGGATGGCTTAATGAGTGCAAGTTTTCAAATATTTTTTTCCGTAAGTGCTTTGGCACCAGAGGCCTGGGAGTCGGCGTGCTGACATCGCAGTACAGTTGTTTTTGACTTCCTGGTATATTTAGCTTCACGAGTTGTAACGAAGTATGCCGTCTTAAGAAATTCACTAGTTCAGTGTCCGTATCTTGCGCTTTGGCTAACGTTTCGAGATTTACAGGATTTTGCAGTTCTTCAACTTGACCAGCCTGGGAAAGAGTGTCAGCCACAACATTATCTTTTCCGGATATATGTTGTACATATGTTAGTCGAAAACTGTGATATGTAGTCTAAATGTCTATACTGACGTGGACTACAGTTTGCCTTCCGCTGATGGAATGCGAAGCATAACGGTTTATGGTCAGTATAGATGGTAAAAGTTGTTGCTTCTAACCAATGCCTGAAGTATTTGATGCTCTCGTATATTGCCAAAAGCTCTCGATCGTAAGGTGAATATTTTTGTTGCGATGGGCTTAACTTACGAGAGAAGAATGCCAGAGGTTGCCAATTTCCGTCCTTCAGCTGTTGTAATACTCCACCAATAGCAAAATCAGACGCATCAGTCACTAAGCTCACCTTGGCATCACAGTCAGGATGAGCCAGTAAAGCTGCGTTACAAAGGCTTTCCTTACAGTCTTCAAATGACTTTAGTGAGTCCCCCGTCACCTCAATTGGATGTGATGCTTTTATAGAACCTGTCAGCAAGGAGCTTAGAGCAGCTTGAATATTTGCAGCTTTGGGGATAAATCTACGATAGAAGTTTATCATGCCCAAGAATCTTCTAAGCTGCTTAGCTGTTTTAGGGACAGGAAATTCTTTGATGGCTTGTACCTTGCTTTCCAGAGGTTTTGTTCCATTCGCGTCAATATGGTAGCTAAGAAATTCTACCTCCGATGCACCGAAGACACATTTTGCAGTGTTGATGAGCATTCCATATTCTTTCATTCTGATGAAAAGCTGATGTAGGTGCTCCAGGTGCTCAGATTCATTACTGGATAATATGAGAAAATCATCGATATAGGGGAAGCAGAAATCTAAGCCACGTGTCATCTCATCGACAAATCTCTGAAAAGTTTGACTTGCGTTTCGCAACCCAAACGTCATGTACGGAAATTCAAAGAGTCCAAACGGGGCTGTTATCGCTGTTTTTGGTATATCGTCTTCAAAAACCGGTATTTGATTAAAAGCTTTAACCAGGTCAATGGTAGAAAATACACGACAGCCAGATAGGCTATGCGCAAAGTCTTGGATATGGCGAATCGGATACTTATCTGGTATCGTGCGAGCGTTTAGCATACGATAGTCGCCACATGGTCGCCAAACATTCTCCTTTTTAGCAGCGAGGTGTAGTGGTGCGGACCAGGGACTCTCAGAGGGTCGCGTGGTGCCGTTAGCCAACATTGCTTCGAATTCTGATCTTGCAATCTTCAATTTTTCAGGTGCCAGTCTTCGAGGAGTACAGGCAACCGGGGGCCTGGTGTGGTGCGGATGTGATGTACTGTGTTGTTTTTTGGTGTGTGGTATATGCCTGCCGGTCGTGTCAGCTCTACAAACTTAGAAAGCAAAATATGATATTTAGAATTGCCGGTTACGACCTTTACACTAGATATTAAACTATCAGTTACAGCAGAAGCAGATACGGTTGACAATTTTGTACTAGCATCAATTAAAAGCTTATTGCGTATGTCTACGATAAGGTTAAAATGAGACAGAAAATCTACGCCAATGATAGCTTTAGTTACATCAGCTACTGTAAAACGCCACACAAAATTTCTACGCAAGCCTAGGTTGAGATTAAGTTCTATGTATCCGTACGTGTTAATCGTAGAACCATTGGCCGCGCACAGCTCGTATTCCGTCGTTTCCCGTTGTTGACGAAGAAACTGAAGACGTGATCTTCTATCCGTCACGAAGAGGCGACCGGTGTTTAATGGGCAATCTTCAGTCGCCATTATCGACTGCCCCGAATGTTTTCCGATGGTGTGTAATCACAGGGCTGGATACATGTCTTCGCTTGTTGACCAAATTTGAAATGGTACCAACAAAGGGGGAACCGCTTATAGTTGGACTGGGATCTTCTCGTAGGGGTTCGCCTACGATCGTGGAGCTGCTGACGATTGCGAGAACGGGACCGGGTGTGCACTTCCATCGTTAGAGCGCTGACTTGTTTTGTTAGTTCAGTTATTTGTCGAGCCATGATTTCCAGTGCCGAGTCTTCTCTTGATGATGTTGCTGCCACTCTCTTGATGAGGTGCACTAGGTGCGATGTCATGGACTCTGTCAGCCAGATCTGCCAGTTCAATGAGAGACAAAGTCATCTGAGACGCGATGATAGTTTGCAGGTTGTCTGGTAAACTTGCTGGCTTGTCCATATGGACCGCAGAAAATCGTCTGGTATTGTAGGTCCAGCTAGTTGTCGTAGATGTCGTAAGAATTATGAACACTTCTGATTGTAAAAGCTGTTTTACCTTTTTCTCTTTAGACACGGAGAGCCGCTTAATCAGTTCGCTTTTAAGGTACTCATATTTTTTTGTAGCCGGTGGTGAGGTGATGACGTCTTCCACTTCAACCGCGTACTGTCTGTCCAAGTTTGAAAGCACGTAGTGAAATTTAGTTAAATCGTCAGTTATTCTTGCCATGTTAAATTGACCTTCTATTTGACAAACCATATTAGTGGTTTTTCCGACCAGAAAGGCGGTATCCGTACACCAACACGAAAAAGTTCCGCTGGATTACCGGATGGATCAACGGAAAATCAACGGAAATTCATTTTTCGATATTTTTTTGTGTGGGGTAGTTAGCGAAAGAGTTGTGTCACTATCTTCACTGCCCATTTTGCGAGAATGTTCTTCTCGGGGTCACCAGTTATGGGGTCTGCTGCGTGAGTCTTGGTTCAGGCAATATGGGGTTTAGATCCGTTACCGGAATGATTATGTCCAATTTCACACACACAGCAATTTATTACATAAAAACGATTAGAAGGAGAAAAGCGACAAGCACAGTTGAATAGTTCACAGCAAACGGTAAGAAAAAGTCCAGGCAAAGAAGGAGACATAAACTATACACACTAAACATTCAATATAAACTTAGTCAATCGAGACAGGCGTATGCGAGTAAATGTGTCGTGAGCTTCGCGGTCAGAGGTCTGCGGACGACTGGCGCAGGAAGCTGCGACGGCGCACCTCTCGCCGTTCACACAAAGACTTGTGAACTACGCAATCATGTGTAAGTCACCACATTATTATATCCTGAAATAAAAATGTCATTATGGCCGAAGCCAAGTACTTTATAATTTCTTCCTGAAATAAAAATTTCAATAAGGCCAAAGCCAAGTCTTATATATTTTCCAATCCTTGTAAAATGGCAAATTCGAGTTTTGCTGTCAAATCCAAGTTCAAGACTTTTTTAAATCTTAGGTGGAATAAAAACAATTAGTAAACAAAATATCATAATGTTATGGACGGAGCCATAGCTTCGTCAAATCCTTGTAATCACATTTTTAGATATCTCCAACTGTTGAATCTATAAATTCACAAATTGGCTTAAAACTTTCTTGATTTCTTAATAATAGCTGAAGAGTACGCGGGATGTCCTCAGCGTTTACATATATACACAGCAGACGGTCAATAAACACTAATCTATCCAGTGAAAAAGCAGAACAACTAAATAAAATGTGATCAAGGGACTGTATATCGTTATTGCAGTAATTACAAACTGGAGAAGACAAAACATTGATTCGAAACAAATGAGCATTGAAGCGGCAATGACCTAATCTCAAGCGACAGATGGTTGTATAAAACTTCCTATCAAGGTAAGAATTCCCTTTAATGAACCAAGGGGAAGAAATTTTATCTTTAATTTCAGCAGACCATTTACCTTTTGACTGAACAATTTCTAGCCAAATATCTTTGAATTTTTCACACAATTTCTGCTTTATTGTAATTAAAAAATCTGAATCTGGAATTGGTACTTGTTTTATAAGATTATTAGGGATTGCTGCAATACATTTTGCCAAGTAATCAACCTTCTCATTGCCAGCAACACGAACATGCGATGGTGTCCAAAACAAAATTATATCTTTATGATGAATATTAATTAAATTATAGTACTTTTCCCTGATATCAAAAATAAAATAACTGGGGTTGGTAGATAATCTTGGATTATCTAATGCCTTCAAAATGCTCATACTATCAGAGATAATTAGCCATTTCTGTACTGCCTGAGCTTCAATATAATCAAGTGCAGATTTTCGAAGTCGTCGTGGCCTAACAGATAAGACGTCCGGTGCATTCGTGTTGAGCAATGCAACGGTGTTCGAATCTCAGGCGGGTACCAATTTTTCTAATGAAGTACTCAACAAATGTGCACGATTGACTTCCACGGTGAAGGAATAACATCGTGTAATAAAAATCAAACCCGCAAAATTATAATTTGCGTAATTACTGGTAGTAGGACCTCTTGTGAGTCCGCTCGGGTAGGTACCACCGCCCCTCCTGTTTCTGCCGTGAAGCAGTAATGCGTTTCGGTTTGAAGGGTGGGGCAGCCGTTGTAACTATACTGAGACCTTAGAACTTATATCTCAAGGTGTGTGGCGCATTTACGTTGTAGATGTCTATGGGCTCCAGTAACCACTTAACACCAGGTGGGCTGTGAGCTCATCCACACATCTAAGCAATAAAAAAAATAAAAAAAAATAATAGCAAGACCCTCGGCTGTAAATATACTTGTTAATTGAGGAAGTTTATTACCGTACCCCTTTCAAGCTTTGCAGTCATGGAAACTGCCATGGAAACAGTAGTACTATTTTTAGCACCATCAGTAAACAATTTATTATAGCTCTCGTATTTCTCTAAAGCTAAATATACATCCTCCTTACACTTTAAAGAATTATTTATAACAACTTGAATAGGATTCAATTTAGTTTTATATGTTGTGTTATAACAAGGCCAAAGATCATTTTCACATAAATTATAGTCTGTTTTAAATTTTAAAATTTCAGGGAGATCCTGAGCCAGATATGGAACATGAGATTGTACATTATTTGAAATACTTTGTAACTTCTAAATGAGAGGATGCCTTGACACAGACAAGAGCTTCAAAAGAAATGTTGATTTAAGATATTCAAATCTTAATGACAATGGAGGAATGTTACATTCCACTTGCATGGAAATAATTGGAGTGGACCTCATTGCACCAAGAATAATGCGTAAGCATTTATTTTGAATTTTATCTAATTTATCAACTAGATTTTTATTATCAGAATAACATAAAAAACCATATTCAAAATGACTGCGAACAATAGACTTATAAAAAAATCAATAAGATTTTTAGATCAGCACCCCACGAAGTGCCGGTCAAAGATTTTAATATGTTAGTAGCTTTTAATGTACGATCAGTTAAGCATTCAATATATTTGTTAAATTTGAAACTACTGCTGAATATGACACCCAAAAATCGAACAGAATTGTCAACAGGTAGTTTATTATTATTATAGAAAATTTTAATTTGAGACAACCTAATATTACGACCAAAACAACAACCTTGCTCTTGTCAGTATTAATTTCCAAATTAAGTTCGTTGAAATAGCTAAGCAAATTTTGTAAAGCAACGTTGATTTTTTTGTATAATAAGATACAGATCACCACTCCTGCAATAAACTGCTAAGTCATCAGCAAACTGCAAGTTAGACACATCATTGCCCAATTTAAGATTAAGCTGATGAATATAAATAATAAATAAAAGCGGGCTTAAGATCCTACCTTGTGAAACTCCTTTATAAGGAAGTCTAGGACCAAACAAATTATTGAAGTGAAAACTTCTTTAGAATCGTTGTGATTTCAAACCGGATGCAACGGAAAAAGCGACAGGTAAGAGACACAAATACAAAAATGTGTAGGATGAAGCCAGCAAAGAGTGAGACAGAAATATACATACTATTTAATACAGCGCCATCTGTGAGATTTTTTAATACTAACGTGTGTATGAAAGCTCTTGTAGTGAATTTTAATTTAGGATTATACGTGAAATTAAAATATCAATTCACAGAGGGCGCTACCTTACAATTNGCCATCTGTGAGATTTTTTAATACTAACGTGTGTATGAAAGCTCTTGTAGTGAATTTTAATTTAGGATTATACGTGAAATTAAAATATCAATTCACAGAGGGCGCTACCTTACAATTATTTACTAATGACAAAATTTTACATATACTTAAGACGTTTAGGATAATTGTATTTTAATTTTGGAAGGTTTCACTTCTACCACGTGTAAATTGCACACATTTGGTTTTTTTTATTTATATTTTACAAAAAAAAAATTTTCTAGTAAAAAGTTATATAACTAATTGACCAACTTTCCAGGTAGCTGTAATGACAACAAAATCGAAGAAAGCACATCAATATTGACATTGTTAAATGCGCCAACAACATCAATAAAAAAACACAAACTAACTTTTCATTATGGGACAAAGCATCACGGATATCCAGACACAAATGACTGAGGCTTTCCCGGGCAGAACGGCCACGACGGAAACCAAATTGATTATAAGGTAGAATTTTGTTACTTTCTATATAAAATTCAAGACGTTGTTTAATTAATTTTTCAAATAATTTTTCTGAGCGGGAACTTAAAGTAATCGGACGATATGAGTCTCCAGAATCTGGATTCCTACCAGATTTTAAAATTGGCACAAGACAATCTATTTTCCATTGCATAGGAATTATCGAATTAGACCATAGTTTAAAAATATGTAACAGTAACAATAGATTATTATTATTTAACAATTTAAACATTTTATAAGAAATCCAATCTAAACCACATGCTGTATCTTTTCGAGATTTTAAGGCTGCTTTTAACTCTGTAATTGTGAAATAATTTATAAGGAAGGAATTTGATGAATTAATGTTATTAGGATTGAAAGTAGAAAATTTTTGTACTGTATCTGGAGTGTATTTAAGAAGAAAATCATTAATCCATTCACAATTATTAAATGCTGCAGGAGGAGTTATTAAGTTTTCTTAATTGTTTCCAAATGTAATTCATTGGACTTAATCAACACAGTGATGAACTGAACTTTTTCCGACAATCTAAGCGTTCCTGTTTAATAATTCTTTTTTTTAAAGCTTGTAAACGTTTAAAATTTATGAAGGAAAACTGACTAGGTTAAGCTTTGAATTGTGAATATGCCTGTCTGCAATCATTCACAGCTTTGGCACACTTGTCATTCCACCAAACTAATGAGATGGTCTTTTTCTTTTTTGGATCATTTTGCGAATTTTGAAATTTATTCTTTGTGCTTACTTTAATTTCTGACAAAATAATAGCTTTAGTAACTATTGAACAAAACCTATTATAACAGTCCAATATACTTGTATGATCAATCTGAAATCCATTGAGCAATTCATTTACATTTTTCTCATACAAAACCCAATCTACCAGTTTCAGGTTAGCATGCTGAGGAATGTTAGAAGAAAACTGAAGAAAATTAACTGATGAAGACACTGTATACTTAGTTACAGTGGGAAAATGATAACTTCCTAGCGAATCAGAATAAACCTGCCAAGAACAAGATAAAGCCAATGAAGATGTTACCATTGTTAAATCAAGACCATTTATTTGGTCTGAAGACATGCGAACCTGCTGTTGTAGGTTGTCCGTCGTTTTAAAAGCACTAAATCATTATCGTCAATGGTATCCATGATTAATCTGCCCCTAATGTTAGTTCTGCTACAACCCCAAGAAGTATGAAAAGCATTAAAATCGCCAGCAATATTTAATGGTTTTGGAATATCACTCGACAGACTATCAAATTTCCTTTTTTCAAAAATAGGTGTACATTGGCCAGGACTGTTAAAGCTTATTCATGATAACTGTTAATTATAAACTTTAATTATAACGGCTACATTTTGCAGGGAATCATCAAAAAAGGTATTGATTTTCTTGTATTGTATACTATTATGAATTAAAATGGCTACCCCGTTGTGAGAATTGCCACAGCCATTTCTCACAACTGAGTAATTTCTAATATTAAATTTTATGTGAGGTCTTAACCATATTTCTGAAATTAAAGCAATATGTATAACATTTTCATACAGAAATTTTTGTAACTCTAATTGATTGCTTAACAGACTTTGTGCGTTCCACTGCGTGATTTTTAATGTGGGAGATCCTTGATCCATCATTCTTTTTTTGTATAGTTTCCTTAATGCAATCTAAAATTGTTTGTGAATTTATGTTTGTGTTGTCGTTTTTATATAATGTCATTACTTTTACTAGTGATTCTAATAGTAAAGAAAGAACTTGTTTGTTTGAAATTATAATATTTGTTAAATCCTGTGTATTTTCTGTTTTATTTAAAGATGAAAAATCTTTTTTTTAAGAATCTCAGAATATGGAGTACTGTAAAATTTGTTTTTATTCTAAGTAAAACATCTTTTGTTTTTCGAATGATTATAGGAAATTTTTATATTAATGAAATCCAGAAATTTTCGAGGTAGATCATCAAGTTGATTCTGGCTACCACAATGGTTTCTGAATATATGTCTGAATAAATAAAAACACACACACAAATACAATTATTACACAATTATACATTATTTGTATTAGTATTATTGAGCTCTTCCACCCATCTAAGCAATAAAAAAAAACTTCATTTAAGTGTATTCAAAATTATTTTAGTTAAATTATTTTATTTATTAATTATCGCTTAAATAATAAATATTCTGGCGAAATATTTCTTATAGCAGGCAACATAAATCGTTCTGCTTCAAGTAATATTACCATCTTTATCCAACTAACGATACGCCGCGTAACTAGTGAACTAGAGTAAGAGAGATGTATATTAATTTAAAATGTTTAATAGTTTCAAAGCTACATCTTCGTCGCATAAAGCGGCTACACTTTTGTGTACGCATGGTACTGAGGTTTGCTCCTCTAGTTATATTTCAACTCTCTGCTGTAAGCAGCATACTTATCATCCTCTCTGCAATCATCATATTTGTCGGAATAATCTGAATCTGTCGACACAGATTCGGCGTAAGAATCCATAATTTCAGTACTTTTTACCTCATCAGCTTTATGTTTTTTGCGCTTTTTCGCGCCCATTTTTTCAACAAAAATTTACAAGTAACTTACCGAATATACAGCAAGTTATCTACGTACACTTATTATAAACAACTTACAGCTATTATTTATATACTAATCAAGACAAATTTACAAATATAAACATTTTTTACAATAAAATATTTTTTGTCGCAAAAACGTTCTGTATCTTCATTCAGGCCCGCGCACCAAAATCCTTATCATAACGACTACATAATGATTGCCAAGCATTTTTATAGTTGGAACTAGAAACTTCGAAGTTAGTAATAATGCGTGCTGCATCACCCGTTAAGTATGAAATTAAATGATGAAACTTATGAATTGGAGCAATTCGCTCATTGTTATGAATTAAACTCAAAAATGTGTCACGTTACTCAAGCCAACGGAAATATGACGCGTCAAACTTATCAATTTGTATTTGGGGCAATTTAAATCCCAAAACATCATGATGATAGACATTGCACTGAGCTGATGATAGCTGACTATAGTTAAGATCTTTGTAATTACTTTCGTCATGTTTACTTGCATTATTTTGTTTAATAATGCTTTGTACGGAAGTGATGTTTGAAATAAATAACTGCTCAATGTCATCTCGCTCATCAACCTCGTTTGTCAAATCACTACGATTCAAAACCTCTATTTGAGTCTGCAAGTCGTCAAATCGATTTGACAGTGACTCAAATTTACTAAGCTCAAGTGTCAATTCAGCAAGTTCAAGAGAAGTTAGTGTTTCTTTTGAGCTTGTTTGAGTTAAATAGTTCCGAAATTTAGGTATTTGCCCCTTTATGGAGCTACGTTTAACAAAAAGATCCAGCAAATCTTGAGTATTTTGCACTAGTTTCACCTCCCATGATAAATAAAAATTATAAGTTTCTAATATAATAAGTAAAAAGTTCGTAAATTAGTTTAATAAAATGAAGTAACTGGTAAAAAGAAGCGATAACATAAGCAAAGTTTAGTACTACGGATAATGAAACTATGGAAAAATAGAATAAAATCGGTTTAGTTAATTAATGAATTAAGAATATCAAAGTTATCTCACGCTCCTCGACTAGACGTGACCTGCACTGGAGTCCGGCCCTGCTGCACTCTCACTCGGAACCCTGGGACACAGCGGGGCTGAACTTGTTTATCGCAGCCAGTAGGTAACGTGCGAAGGCTCACCGTCTGCCTGGAATGTTCGGCGAAATTGTGTGAATTGATTGCAAAAACAATAATGCACAAAGGGATAAAAAAAAAAAAAAAACATGAGGCACAGTGGGTATTGAGTTATTTAAAGAACTATCTAGCAGAATTTGTAACTAGCGACAGTACCCGCTTATTGTTAGGTGGCCGTCCGCTTGTCTTCCTTTGTTAGCAATATCTATATATTAATACGTGAAGCAAAAACTTTGTATCCCTTTTTACGAAAATTGCGCGGACGGAGGAGTATGAAATTTTCCACACTTATAGGGAATATAGAGAAAAAGTGCACAATGCTATTTTTTTTTTAAATATTGCATAATACGTACGTTAAATCAATAAAGAAAACATTACACACACTACATACCATGTATTTGACGCACACACGCATGCATACTATTTATTGTCAAACTTTTGTTCTTGACGTCTGTGGTCAAATTGAGAATAGCTAAATATTGTTTGTCTTTATATTAATATACTAGCGACCCGCCCTCGCTTCGCTTCGGAAACATTAAAACACACATGAAACCAAAAAATAAAAATAAAAAATAAATAAAAAAGTAGCCTATGTTCATCAGGGACAATGTCGGCTTCTAATGGAAAAAGAATTTTTCAAATCGGTCCAGTAGTTTCGGAGCCTATTCGAAACAAACAAACAAACAAATCTTTCCTCTTTATAATATTAGAANTAGCGACCCGCCCTCGCTTCGCTTCGGAAACATTAAAACACACATGAAACCAAAAAATAAAAATAAAAAATAAATAAAAAAGTAGCCTATGTTCATCAGGGACAATGTCGGCTTCTAATGGAAAAAGAATTTTTCAAATCGGTCCAGTAGTTTCGGAGCCTATTCGAAACAAACAAACAAACAAATCTTTCCTCTTTATAATATTATAAGTATAAGTATAAGTATAGATTTTTATAGAGTAGCCTTGGCGAAAATGATTATAGAATTATAAAATACAATCATAATAGTGTGCAAACTTACAATTCCAATTAATTATAGTCAAATTTCGACTACTGCGGGACCTCTAGTAAATATAATTACTTAATGCAGAAAACAATACTAAAATTAAGAAAGACACTTTTTTGGTTTGGATATTTTTATGATGTGGGTAAACCTCACTATGAAAAAACTAAAATGAATTGAAATTATATTGAAAGGATAAAAAACACTGTATAAAGACAATTAGCACAAGTACAGACTAATCGATTTGGGTAAATAGGAAAAATGTTATTGGAATTTAGGTTGGTGTGATTATATAGACGGGAAAGTAATGGGAAGGGCACTTAGCTGCATTGACCTGGGCTGCGGCTCGATGCTGATTGCTGATTGCTGATCGATGACCGGCGATGGCTACAATGGCTTGAGCTCCAAGATCCCGTGGATACAGTTGAGGACGGCAGCTGGTTTCGACGAATAAGCTTCTGACCGATTTTTCGGCTTGACCATCCGAATGAAAAAATATTCTTTTCCGAAGAATTTTCAAGGTTCTTTTGACGGTCGCCAGATGTTGGATGCTTGGGTTTCTTCAATAAAACTTCCACAATCGATTTTGTGCTTGTGTTTCCTTTATACAGGTTTTTGTTAATTTAATACGTTGCGAACAAGTTAGCTTGGCACGGCCATTAATTGAAGTGTGTAAAAATTGTGCAGGTAAACATAAATAAAATTTTGTACATTGCTCCTTAAAAATTTGTAGGCGTTAACAGGTTGTAAAATAAATGATTTATTTTACTTTCATTTCGTTGTAGGAATTGATTTTTCTGTTTTTTACTTTTTTGATTACCCATCTTAAAGAATTCGTTTTCATTTGAAGAATTCATGTTTATTTTAATCTCATTCATTTGGAGAACATTGTTTTCAATACCTAATTCTAAAGTTACTATTATTGGTTATAAAACTAATTTTATTTGTTTTATGTACAAAAGTTCTAAGCACTGTTGTATGTTTTTAATTTGTATTTTTTTAAGAGTTTTTAAAGTGAAATTAATGACATAACTTGATTTTTATAATTTGCAGTCTCGTCAAAAAAACTGATGTCTGAAACCCCCTTTAAATGTCGATTTTTTTAATAATTTTATTAAAAGTTCTAAAATATTTTTATGTGTTTAAATACTACGATAAACTTTCCTTTAATCAGTAAAGTCAAACCCTCAATAAATCATGTACATTTTGCAGTATGCACTTCAGGGGGGTGCAACTCTCATACAAAGGAAAAAAACAAAATGTGTGCAATTCACACGTGGTAGAAGTGAAACCTTCCAAAATTAAAATACAATTATCCTAAACGTCTTAAGTATATGTAAAATTTTGTCATTAGTAAATAATTGTAAGGTAGTGCCCT